TCCTCTCCTGGAACCAGTGCTGTTCATGCTCCTCTGTCCCCTCTCTGAGTTACTGCCCAGCATGGTGCTGACTTCTTTCCCTCTCTCTTTGCTTGTGCTGCTTGGATGCTGCTCTGACTCTGTCCTGTCTCATGGATGTAGGGAGCGGGAGGCAGCCACACAGCAACTTGAGGAGGAGGCAGAGGTGAGGAGCATGGTGGGAGGGTTGTAGAGTCGCAGAAAAGGGCCGCAACTGGACTTGAAGGCTGAAGAAACCTTTAAAAGCACTCGTTCCCTGTAACTTCTGTTCTCCACTCCCTCCCCCATCCCTCCCCCCCAAAAAAAGACTTGACTTTTGTATATAAGAGAAGCTATCAGAAATTAAGAAATCTGTAATGTGAGTGAGGAAGGAATGATGAAAAACAATGGCTAGAAGTAGAAAGGCAGACAAATGCAAATGGGAACTGAAATCAAACAAAATTATACAATGAGTGTGAGTTAAGGTTGAGAAAAGATACCATAGGGGAATTGTGGATTTGTATTCTCAAACGTCCCCAAATCCAGACTGGAAGCCTTTCTGGATGCTGTTTGGAGAAAACCGGTATGTATGTCACGTTGTCCTCTCTGCCTGTAAGGGAGTGGACGTGTGCACGTGGGGGCAGGAGGAATGCGGGTGATCTGTGCATCAGTGGGGGACCGAGGGCCCCTCTCTGCAGTACTTCTCAAGCCTGGCCTCTGTCATGGGTCCCCATGGTTGCGTTTGGAATGATTCCAGGTTCATTTCCGGGCAATGGGAAATTTCTGCAGTTTGGAGATAAGGTCTTGGTTATTACAAGGGATGGTTTCCTTTTAATTGCTCTTTTTAGTTGATTTAGTTGACTTCTGGACTGATTTCTTCCTGCTCTTGTGTTTTTTTGTTCCCCCCTTGCCCCACTCCAGAATATCACCAGTGAACCTTTGAGACTGGATTATCGGACCCTGGCTGCTTTGCCCAGCAGTGGCTTACAGAGAGTCAATCGCACTGTAAGTGAGGGGCTGTTGAGATGTGGGTCCCTGCGTGGGGGAAACTGTGGTCATTCTGTTACCTCCCCTCTCCTTGTGCCCTGATGTGAGAGATGACAGTACTCTTCTGCAGAGGAAAACTGGGAAGCAGAACAGTGGTAGACTTTGACACTGTATGAAACAGGAGGTAGCCACAAAAGAAGGATTAGAATAAGCAAATTAGGAGAGTGGAGAGCCAGGTTGCTTTCCGTTTTGGGAAGGGAAGTGGCCTGTGTACTTGCCAAGATGCAAAAGGAAGTGTCTTCAGCAAGGCAGAGAGAACAGCCCATCAGGAGGGGAGCATACATGTGAATGGGAGAGCACAGGGGATTTATTATGGAAGGAAGCAACTACTGAAAGGTGCAGAGGAGGAAGGGGAAGATTCTTCCTGATGCAGAAGATGACAATGTTGTGTGCGCAGCTTAGTTGTAAATTCATTGTGGGATGGTATTTAGAAAGGAGGAGGGATGCAGGGTGCTGATACCAAAAGCATTAAAAGAAAGTCAAGATCTATCTAGGACTGCAGAAGGCAAAGTGGCAATGATTGCGTATCATGACTTGGCCCTGATACAGCCTTGGATACTCCTGCCCTTGTGACCTGCATTTCCGTCCCTGATATGTAGTGGCAGCTCAGCCAAGAGAAAATCCAGATTTCACAAACTTAACAGATTATAAAGTCATCTGTCACTCCTGTGTTGTTTAAAATCTCACCTCTCCATCTTTGCTTCCTTTGGTCATGTTTTATCTTCCCTGCATCATACCTATTCCGCTGGGTTTCTGCCTGTTCCTTCACACACGTTCTCAGTCTTCACCTCCATTCCTTTCCACCTATTGCAGCAAGACCACCCTTTGATGTCATTGTCAGACTCTGCACTCCCATTCCGTTGTTTCAGGATCACCTCTCTTGCCTTTACTGTCTCCCTCTTATTACATCCAGACAGGTCTCCTCTCCTATTCATCTATCTTCTCCTTGACTTCAGGCCCTCTTGCTTTTCTGCTTCCACACTGATTAGAGCCCTGCTTTGTCTCCAGCTTTGTCTCATTTTGTTCCCATACTCCCCAGCTTTTGGGTTTTCCTCTCCTGGCTGCTCACACAGAAAAGTATTATCAGGAAAAAGTTTAACTTATTTTTAGCATCTCTTAGTATAACTTAGTAGCGGGAAACAAGGGGAGAGCCAGCCCCACGCAAGCAGCTGCTTCTTTGCTGGATGGCCCTAGTGTCGTTCAGAGCAGAGCAGCATTTGGTAACTTGT